TTATATTTGTTGTCTGTCCCCCGCTATTTGTATATAAGCTCCATGAGGAGAGGAACTTTGGCTCTTGTAAACCTCTGTATTTCTATACCTAGAACAGGACTGGGCACGTTAAAAACACTCACTACATTTTAGATAAATGAATGAATAAGGAGTGAATTAATGAATGAATTGGGGTTGTTTTGTTTTGCTTTACCTAGGACAAAAATGCTCTTTAGTGATCCTGGGAAACCCGACACTCTATAGGTAGTGTTCCTCAACATACAATAAATGTGTCAATTTTGACCCATTTTCTTTTTCTGTAGCACCTTTGTAAATTAGCCCAATTGAGAAATGGTGTTCTATACAGACTTTATCTCCGATATTAAATCACGTAGAGCAGTTTTGCAATCTGCAGAGAGGTATTAAAGATGAGCATGACCCACCTATTTAGCGAAATGCATGGGACTCTATATAGTCCATCATGGGTCTCAGCCTGATACTACCTGAGAATTTATGGCAGCTGCTCCTTCATATCAAATTAATACAAATATTTAATATGTGCATGTTCTACTCAATATTACACCATAGGACTCTTACTTAATTTTCACATTTCTCATCTGAAAGCCCCTAATTTGTTAGCATCCAAAATGACTTTAATAGACAAAACTTAGAAAATAAGAACCCTTTATAAGCAGATACATTTTAGTTTCTTAGAATTGAATTCCATTCATAAATAGCACATAGAGTCAGAAATACTAAGTATTTACTTAATTAAAGTGAACTTTTTAGGGAAAGTGGGAAAAATATACACATTTGTCAAAATAAACAAAAACACTTTTATTATTATAAATCATGATTGATTATCTATCATCCACTCACTGGCTAATTGCAAAATATTCTTGTATATTAGAGGTTTCCTCCTCATTAGTACAATATTGGTGTGTTAGGGTAGGTGGTATTAAATGTTAAGGCATATAAATAAAACACACTACACTGGTTTTAAAAATCTGGACATCCGGGATTTCCCTGGTGGCGCAGTGGTTAAGAATCCGCCTGCCAACACAGGGAACACGGGTTCGAGCCCTGGTCCGGGAAAATCCCACATGCCGCGAAGCAACTAAGCCCGTGGACCACAACTACTGAGCTCACGCGCCTAGAGCCTGTGCTCTGCAACAAGAGAAGCCACCACAATGAGAAGCACGGGCACTGCCGCGAAGAGTGGCCCCTGCTCGCCGCAATTAGAGAGAGCCTGCATGCAGCAACGAAGACCCAACGCAGCCAAAAATTTTAAAAATAAATAAATTTATATATATAAAACAAATCTGGACATCCTTGGCATTAAAGTTAACAAGTTTCTTAAGGTAATCATTTTTAAAAAGAAAAAATAAGATTTGGAAGTGGGAGTAAGAAAAATTGTGTGTGAGATTGAAACTTCTTGTTACGTACACAACAAACTCCTAATCAGCCTGTCACCTGGGACACATTCTAAGCAGCTCAAGACACACAGCCTGACCTTTGAAAAACTTCCCGGATATGCTAATTTGTAATCCTTTCCTCTGAAGCTTTGGACATGACTTTCTCAGATTCCTATTATCTTGCTTCAATCCTAGGGGAGTTGCTTTAGTTCTGAATTATCCACATGAGAAATGAACCGATGCAAGTAATTTTTTCCTTGCTGCTAAATTGTTTAATGAAGGTATGTATTGAAAACTATAGCATTAAGTTTCCTAATGGAAACTATTAGAGAAGTCTCTTACAGCACTTTTACTTCAGGTAAGTGTTTTAAAGGACTCGGGAGGTTAAAAGCACATTTCTTGGGCTTTTTAGAGAGTAAATGAAAAAATTCCACATTTTGTTTACACAGTATGTCTAGTTCTAATCTCACAGGATACATAAAAATGTTCAAAGAACCACCTGGAGAAAAAAAAATGAAATGGTTAGAAAATAACTAAGGCCAATGAGGAAACATTGATAACTGGGGTCATTTACTGTATATTCACAGAATCCACCTACCTGCCACTCTCCTTCTGGGGTGCCTTCCTGTGGCAGATTGTATTTTCCAAAAATAGCTCAACAATAGCTTTCAGCCCACATGTGACTCATTGAAACTCATCCCAGTGAGAGGTGGATCTATGGTCCCTTGCCTTGAATCTGGATGGACTTGTGACTACAATGAAAGTGATGCTACGTGATTTCTGAGGTTAAGTCGTAAAAGGCAACACAGCATCTGCCTGGTTCCCTTTATAACCATGCTGTGAGTTACTGCTGTCTTCAGTTTATGGAAAAGGAAACAGCTAGTATGTTGTAGGACTAATCACACTACTTCTCAGAGAAACTTCTGTCTCATGAGTCTAGGATGAGGAAAGCTGGAAATATAAATATCAGTATTATCTGGAGGAAGCCAAAAAAGTCAGAAAGACCTGGAAGATGTGAGCATTAAGTCTACCAAAATGGTTAGACCAGGGATTCCCAAACTGTGACTCAGGGGCCACATGCTTCTAAGTACAGTATAATCTACCCATCCATACCCAGATCCTACCACCACCACCTTTACTATTGAAATTTCTGGTAGAAAACTTGTTACTGAGAGCCAATGCAGTGTTTCACTCTATATATCTTTACTCGAGCTTACTGACATTTCCTTTTCTAGCACTAACGTTAGACAGCCCCCCTTCAATCATACCCCCTTTATCACTCAGTTAAAGCCCAAACTAGTTATTATATTATCTCAGTGGGTTCCTGCTCCCACCCAAGGTGCTAGTTCCCTAGTTCCCATGCCATCTGGGTGCTCATCCAGACTGGGGGTGGAATCAATGCAACACAAGTGTTATTTCCTAATTGATTATGTTAAAATCAATGTTGTGGTTAAAAACAAAAAACAAAAAACTTTCATAAGAGTTATGTCTTTACTTGTTAATAGATTATTGATATTTTTGGCAGGTGGGACCAGCTCGTAATCAACTCTGATCCTTTTCCAAAAGCATAGATGCTTTCTCAACTGCCATATGTCCCACATATAACACCTGCTTATTTCGATGGCAGAATGTTTCATATGCCAGAATATGAGCACAGTCCCTCAGAAAGTTTAATTTTTATCCCTAAAGAGAAACATTCCTTTCCTCCAAGGAGAAACAAAGTTTTATTTGTGCATCTTGGTACCTAATTCACACAGCATGCGATTCACACAAAGTGCACAATTCAGTGATTTTTAGCACATTCACAGAGTTGCACCTCCATTACCACAATCAACTCTACACTTTCATCTCCCCCCAAAAACCCCCAAACTCATTAGCAGTCACTCCCACTTGCCCCCAAACCCCCCAGCCCTAGGCAACCACTAATCTACTTTCTCCATATAGAGATTTGACTATTCTGGACATTTCAAACAAATGAAATCATACAATATGTGGCTTTTCATGCTTGGCTTCTTTCACTTAATATTTATCCATGTTGTAGCAAGTGACTGTACTTAATCTCTTTTTAATTGCCAAATAATATTCCATTGTATGGATATGCCACAGTTTGTTTATTCATTTATTATTGGATGGGCAGTTGACTTGTTTTGATTTCTGGCTGTTATGAATAATGCTGCTATGAACATCTGTTTACAAGGTGTTGCGTGGACATATTTTCATTTCTCTAATACCAAAGAGTGGAATTACTGGATCATATGGTAACTCTATGTTTAACCATTTGAGGAACTGCCAAACTGTTTTTCCAAGCAGTTGTACCACTTTATATTTCCACCTGCAGTTTATGAGGGCTCCAATTTCTCCACATCTTCACCAGCACTTGTTATTATTTTTTCACAGTAGCTGTCCTGGTGACTTTGAAGTGGCATCTCATTGTAGGTTTGATTTGTATTTCCCTGATAGCTAATGTACGTTAAGCATCTTTTCATGTGCTTATTGGCCTTTTGTATGTCTTCTTTGGAGAACTGTTAATTGCGATCCTTCGTCCATTTATTTTAATTGGGCTCTTTGACTTTTTCTTGAATACAGTAGTTCTTTACCTATTCTAAGTACAAGTTCTTCTCTCACTTGGTATATGATTTGCAAACATTTTTTCTCATTCTATGGGTTGTCTTTTGCCTTCTTGAGGTATTCTTGGAAGCACAGAAGTTTTTAATCATGATGATACCCAATTTATCTTTCAGTGCTTGTGCTTTTGGTGTCATTTATTTAAGAAAGCACTGCCTAATCCAAGGTCATAGAGATTTACACCTAGGATTTCATCTAAAAGTTTTATAGTGTTTGCTCTCATATTTAGGTAGTTGGTCCATTTTGAGATAATTTTTATATGTGCTGTGAGGTAGGGAGTCCAGCTTTATTCTTTTGTATGTGGATATCCAGTTGTTTCAGCACAAGTTGATGAAAAGATTATTTTCCTCAATTGAATTGTCCTAGCACCTTTTTCAAAAGTCAATTGACTGTAAATATGAGTTCTTTCTGGACTCTCAATCTATTCCTATTTTACACTTTTTCTTAGAATTGTTTTCTTAATATTACTTTTGCTTCATTCATTGATATTGTATACAAATACAATCAATTTTTGAATATTAATCCTGTATCATGCAACTTTGCTGATCTCATGTATTAGTTCTAATGTTTTCTTAGAGTATTCCTTTGAATTTTCTTTGTATAACATTAGAGATAGTTTTACATCTTCCTTTCTAATCTGGATGTCCTTTACTTCATTTTCTTGCCTAATTGCCCAGCTATACCCTCCAGTACAAGTTGAATGGAAATGGCAAGAGTATACATCCTTGTTTTGTTTCTGATTTTAGGGGGGAATCCTTCAGTCTTTCATCATTAACTATGATACTAGCTATGGTTTTTTCATAGATGCCCTTTATCAGGTTGAAGAATTCCCTTCTATTCCTAGTTTGTTGAGTGTTTTTATCATAAAAGTGTGTTGGATTTGTTAATGCTTTTCCTGTGCCTAATGAGGTGACCATGTGGATTTTGATTTAGTCTTACCTATTTCCTTCTCCAAACATTAAAAGAAAGCTATAGGAAATGTCACTTTCTAAATGAATCATCATTTTACAAAAAGGCATAAAATAGTATTATTGCAAAGCTTTGGTGATCTAAAAGCATCCAACTGAATCCGTTAGAAAAATAAAGCTGCATGAAGAAATTTTTTTCTTACTAAAAAGATAAAACTTCATCTGCTAATTATCGGAAAATATATTCTTGTAAGAAAAAAGTTGCATAATAAATTAACAAGTAGTATAATCATTGTCACTTTTACATACACATGAAAAAATACATGATAGAATTATTAAAGTTCCCTGGTAATTACTGTCATCTCTTGTTCCAAATGTTTTCATATTAAAATAGAGATTTATATTTCAAAAACACCATTGTATTGACTTAATCAAAACATATCATGCTTTATGTTTTAAAATATCACATTAGCAAGCATGTTTGTGGCCTAAAAGTTCAGAGCTGTGTTGGCTGGGAAGATAAAAACAAAATATAATTCTCAATTACGGTTTGATTGTGCTCTGTGTAGTATACATAATGCCCTCTGCTTTAATTCGCTCCAGTATTGGTCCATAGATCTCCTTTGAAAAGGGCCCCATCAGGCCTTTAGCTTGAATTTCACCTAGAAGAAAATAAATTTGTAGTTACCATTTTAAAGGTGGTATGAAAGGTTAACTTCTACAGCAAGAGTCTCCATACAGCAGTAAACTGTGAGTCAACAAGTTGTTGGAGGCCTAGGGATTTTTCAAAATAGCAGCTTAAATGTCCCCTACTAAATTATTACTTTGGGACTTCCCTGGTGGTCCAGTGGGTAAGACTCCGCGTTCCCCATTCAGGGGACCTGGGTTCGATCCCTGGTCGGGGAGCTAGATCCCACATGCATGCCGCAACTAGTAGTTCGCATGCTGCAACTAAGAAGTCCACATGCCACAACTAAGAGCCCACATGCCGCAATGAAGATCCTGTGTGCCGCAACTAAGACCCGGCGCAGCCAAAATAAATACATAAATATTTTTTTTAATTATTACTTAATCAACACTGTAAGAAAAAGCAGTTAATTGAAAGCACAGCTGGAGTTAGGGACAGAGTCTGAATTTATACACTTAACTGCATTAACTACCAAATCAGAGAATAAAGTCTAGTAAGAAAGTAAAGTCAACCTAACGGGTCTGCTTTATTTGCTGATGTCATTTTTTAAAAAGCATGAGACCAACAGAATGAAATTAAAACCAGTCTGGTTATTTGGGCACTGGCATCTGTTAGGGTGGCTGAAAGAGTAAGTCTGGGCACTTTCCTTAAAGACTATGATGCCCTCATCCCTCATCACTTCTTCACTCTAGTTCCTCAATAACTAAGTAGGTGGTTTAATTTTTTTTTCTTTTTTTTTTTGCGGTACGCGGGCCTCTCACTGCTGTGGCCTCTCCCGTTGCGGAGCACAGGCTCCGGACACGCAGGCTCAGCAGCCATGGCTCACGGGCCCAGCCGCTCCACGGCATGTGGGATCTTCCCGGACCGGGGCACAAACCCGTGTCCCCTGCATCGGCAGGCGGACTCTCAACCACTGCGCCACCAGGGAAGCCCTAGGTGGTTTAGCTAATATGATACTGTACGTTTTTTCCCCATTATTTCCCATTTATGTTTTGATGTTTTTTACTCCCCTCACACCTTCACAGGGGCCAAATGGGGTGTCATATTCAGAGCTGATGCTTATTGAATGCAAACATCATCTTAAGGGGAGAGTGGAGAGTTGAAATTTGAATTCATTTAGTTCAAAATATATATTTAGTATTGCTAGTATGTTGAGACATGAGGATTAATAAAATGTGGCCTATATTTTTGAAGATCTGGAAATGAATACCCTCTGCTATTTCAGTGTTACCCCAAACATACAAAAAAATAAGGAAAGAAAAGAAGGCAGTTAACATTCCCTGGGGAACCCCTCTATGTGGTAGGAGCTTTATGTATTATTTCACTTTAGTGTCACAACAACCCTATGAATTAGTCATGACAATCCCCACTTTAAAGATGAAGGAACTCTGACTCAGAGATGCTAAGTAACTTGCACCCCATCACTCAGTCATCTTGCGACTGAGCTGGGACAGAAATCAGGTCTAACTCCAAAGCCAAGGTTTTTTATTCATCACAAGGTGATCTCCCAGTCAGCCAGCCCTTACATCTTCTGAACTGGCTCACTTTTAGTGAAAGCTAGTGTCATACTCAAGACTAATTATTTGATATCCAGGCCCTGAATGACTTGGAGATAATATGGAGACAAACTTGGTCCCCCAGTGAAAGAACTTACCATCAAGTAACATCTTGGCTGCCATAGCAGTGGGTAACCCCACAGTTTTAGCCATAGCTGAAAAACCATTGACATCCCCGTAAACCACAAGATCAATAGTTTTATTTTCTAAATGTCCAGAAGGATGTCTGATTCCAAAGTTGTCTCTCATCACAATCATATCTTTCTCTCCAGGGCCTTAAAATAAATAAACATACAGTTTAAAATGTCACTATCATCACAACTCCAGTATCGTACTTCATCCCCCTGCGCCTGCCCTTCTGCTCTCGTTTCCCCTCCCACTATGTATATCCTTAAACAATTATGTATACTGCTTTTTAGCCCAAAGACCAAATTAAAAATTCAAGGAATTGATAACTGTAACCAGGTTCCTCTGTCTAGGTGGGTATCACTATAACCTGGTTACAGACACGAGGGTGCTGCTGTAGAGGCCGTCCCTGCTTCTCCCCAAAACGCTCCTTCAGCATTTTCCTTAATGTGTCAAAAATTAAAAGTAAAACTAATGATTTTTTCCTTTGCCATATTACCCAAGTTCACTCTTACTTAATAGTTCTCTTATTCTCCCCTCTGGAAAAATAGTCCACGTGTTCCTTCCCCATTCCCACTGTGTAGCTCCCGCCCTTCAGTCTAATTCACTGGTTCTTATGATTCCTCTGCTGGGATGTTTAGCCAATAGCCCACAGCCTACCATAGGAAAGCTTCATGGCCAAATGCTTGGAGAGTGCATCCACGAGAGACTCTGCCCGAGGGACTTGTTCATCCCCAAGCAAGCCCAACCTGAGAAGCACGAGAGATGGCTGCATTAGTTCAAGTCCTATACATATGCTCAGTTGGGAAGCAGAAGGGAACGCTCACTGGATTTTATCTTGAAAGGGCAGAATCACAAGACGACAGTTCAAGTTATATGACTCTCAAGTTATTGTAAAATAATAATAATGAGAGTAATGTTTTCACCTTTAGAATCATCCCCAGACTCTCCCAGGAGTGTTGCCTGGAGCTAGACCTGATGCACTGTAAGTACACACTGTTGCAAAGCTTTTCATGAGATTAACTTACAGGTTAGTTCTCCCACATGAAGGATACCAGCAGAATGGGCCACAGCCACATGAATAAGTGTTGTAAAGTAGTTAAAGGAAGACTGGGAGAATGTCCTACAGGAGAGAAAAAATATCCCACCTTTCTCAGGAACTGAGTAGTGAAGCTGCTCAAAAATAAGTATTTCCCAAGTTATAATTGCCATTGAATTTCTCGCTTTACCTACTTTTCATCCCCACGTGAACATGGTACGTGGTAATCTCTGTACAACAGGCCAACATTAGAGCAGCAAATTAATCAAAGACAATGTAAAATATTTGCTTCTATCTTGACTTTTCTTTGACTAGAAAGCACTAAGTAATCATTGATCCAGTATTTTGCTCTAGGTTGACTGGTGGGTACCTACCATTCAACAGCCTCCAGCTGGGTATTGTCTCCTTCTAGTTTCTTAAAGACAGCTTCCTTAAGCACATCACACTTGGAGGAGGGTGAAATTCCCACTAGATCACAGAGGAGTTCTTTCTGGTTATTAGAAAAACAAAGATACAAATTCTAAGCTCCAAATAAAATAAAAAATGAGTTGAGAAATTACCCTATTAAGACATTGGACCTCAAAAGAACCTCAAATTTTAAATTAGAAATAATTAGAAATAGTAAATTGTGGCACACACATGTGCATACACACATCTGCACACCCACACATCAATAAATGGGTATTTCAGAATGATATTTCAGCAATAAAAGAGTCATGACACCAAATCAATACCAAAAAGGTGACACCATATTTACCATCACATTGACTACCTTTGCAGGTCCTCCCTATCACCTTATCCCTCATTATCCCTCACCGTCTAGAAGTCAATTTTGGCCAGGATAGAGTGAAAGGGACTTATTGCTGTGGTTGCTAGTAGCAACTAGAGTTCTTTTGTAGGTTCAAGAAATGAGGAAAATTGTGCAGATAATAAAATCTCAAAGGACGAGCACTTAAACAGTGGTCATAGCTTTTTCTAATTTCTAAACAAGACTTTTTCCAGGCTCCCAAGGAAAATGTTATGCTCTAGATTAAGGATCAACAAACTAGTTCACAGGCCAAATTGAGCTCACCACCCGGTTTTGTAAATAAAAAGTTTTATTGGAACATAGCCATGCTCATTTGTTTACGAGCAGTCTGAACTGAGTAGCCTGACAGAGACCACATGACCCATAAAAGCCTAAAAAATTTATAATCTGGTCTTTTACCAAAAAAAAAAAAAACGTTTGCCAGCCCCTGTTCTAGACTGTAGCTACCAAGACAAGGGGACCAGCCCCAAGAATGCCTGCACCAACCTTCCCAATCAAACTGCCTCAATATCAGATTCACTATGGGTATTTATTCACTCCTGTCCAACAAGTAAGTTTATGAAATCTGAAACTTAGATTGAAAAGACTCTCAGATACACAAAAGAACTGAATTTAAAAGCAACTGGTGGGCTTCCCTGGTGGCTCAGTGGTTGAGAATCTGCCTGCCAATGCAGGAGACACGGGTTCGAGCCCTGGTCTGGGAGGATCCCACGTGCCGCGGAGCAACTAGGCCCGTGAGCCACAACTACTGAGCCTGCGCGTCTGGAGCTTGTGCTCCGCAACAAGAGAGGCCACGACAGTGAGAGGCCCGCGCACCGCGATGAAGAGTGGCCCCCGCTCACCGCAACTGGAGAAAGCTCTCGCACAGAAACAAAGACCCAACACAGCCAAAAATAATAAATTAATTAATTAATTTTTTTTAAAAAAGCAACTGGCTAACCAGAATACCCAAGATCCAAGTTTCTTTGGGACACTTAATGGGATTAGCTGTATTGATTCTTTTCTCTTTGTGATAAATTTCTAGCATTTCTATTGGAATATGGGCACATTAATTTAAGTTGAATGACCAGCTGGTAACAAGTTAATTCCTGGCAGTTAGTGGAAGCTCTAGATTTTAATACAACACAGATATGGGCATAAACTCAGTAATTAAAAACTCAGATTACGCATGGTTACAAATGGTCAAATAAAGGAACGAATGGGATTCGGGCGTTGGGAATCTAGTTCTGCGATACCAGCCGGAGCTCTCCTGCTTTCTCAGTTTCAGGAGGCCCAAGCTTAACTCCTGTCATGGGGTCACCACTCAGACAAGCGGCAGAGCCCAGAGCACAGTGCAGAGAGCAAGCGCATCTCTGCTCAGGGCTGAGGGAGCAATCAAGTGGTAGAAGTTGCAGCAGGAAACGGGCCCCAAGAGTCAGCCTCCGTGTGCTCTCCATCCTCCCCAAACAATGAAGTTTGGAAAGGGGGGCTTTGGGGCTAGGACTTAACTTCCTGCACATAAGCCACAGAATGGGTTCTTTGCTGGTCCAAACCCACGTTCAAACCTGACCATTTCAGAAGGCATTTTTTTTTTTTTTTTTTTTTTGTGGTACGCGGGCCTCTCACTGTTGTGGCCTCTCCCGTTGCGGAGCACAGGCTCCGGACGCGCAGGCTCAGCGGCCATGTCTCACGGGCCCAGCCGCTCCGTGGCCTGTGGGATCTTCCCGGACCGGGGCACGAACCGGTGTACCCTGCATCGGCAGGCGGACTCTCAACCACTGCACCACCAGGGAAGCCCTCAGAAGGCATTTCTGAAGAGCAGCAGACAATGTATTATTCCGGAGTCACTCACCCAGGTGAGCGGATTGGCATCAGGTCGAAGGGCAGGAAATGCATCTCTGTTTATAAGACCCAATTTTACAAATCCATTCAAGGCTTTGGCATATCCCTGTAACAAGAGTTATTAAGCAATATATAAAAATGTGTCTTCAAAGAAAAACATTTTTTAATTTCTTGAAAATAAGGACCTATTTTTGTAGTTCATTTAGAAAACAGGCTGAGAATAGCCATTTGTGCTGCTAGTATTGATGCAGTCACCCTCGGGTTCAAACCAAAATCAGCAGCGTCACAACAATTCCACTGGTTTACACAAGAGCCCTTGCAAAACGTGGGTCTTTACTTTTGTTTCTGGGTAACATGCGAGTGGTGTTTTCTGACAGCATAAGGGAAAGTTTCATCTTGGGTTACATGCTCAGGTCAGCAGAACTGTATTTAATAGAATAGTTGTTCTCTCTCTTATAATGGAAGAAGGAGCTTGTAAGAATATCTCCCAACGAAGATAATCCATCCTACTGATTAAGAGCCATTATCCTAACGTATATAAGGAGCAAGGGGGAAAGGCAGGCATCAGAGAGGTATTTCTAAAATGCCATCACGCTGATAGAAATTCCTCACATGTCCTTCATTCTCTACAGGACAGGCCGAGGTTCTTGGCACTGTTATGTAGAACCCATCCCAATAAACCCCTCCAGCCTGACTCACTAATCATCCTCTCCACCACTCACCATCCTCCAAACAAGCTGCTGTGCTCTTCCAGAGACCTGGGGCTCGGTGCACGCTGCTCCCATGCTTGGAACATGGTAACCCCTCTTTCTCATCTATGAAATGTTTACTTTTCTCTTAAGACCCAGCTCAGCACACATACTGAGCTCCCTAGGTGAGTGGGCACTCCCTTCTTCTCTGTATTCCTGTAGCATTTTATACATACGCACTTAACACAAACTGTAATTAATTGTCTATTCAGCTGCTGAACGGCAGGCATAGAAAGTATGTGTATGTGTGTCCTTCAACCCCATGTCCTCACCCCATTATCCATCATTCCAATATGCTGAAAGAGAACAAATGACTGGATGAATAGATTCTGAATGAAGATGAAGTGAAGGAGGATCATAATGTATGTTCTCCTGTGAGCAAGTTACACTGGGGGCCGGGAGGGAGGGGGGATTGGAAAGCCAAAATAAGGAGCTTTATAGCCACTGCAACTGAGAGACAGCAGGTGGGGGGAGGAGAAGAAGAAGAAGAAGAGAAGAAGGGCAGGAAATTATTTCAGGAAGCAGTAAAATTATTAAGATATAAAATAGTTCCTGTTGCCACTGGATGTTTCACAGTTTAATGTGTGAATTCTCACACGTCTGAACGGCTGTATTATTCAAACTGTCCAAAGTTACTAATTAAAGAATTAAAATTCATTTGCTCTAACCCAATGTAAATATACTTCAAAGAGGAGAAGCAAAAAAGCAATACCCCGAGCCTGCTTCTAGGATCTGATGAATGCTGGGGGCCCCTTCTTCCAACATCTCAAATACTGAGACATTTCTCAGCTATTTCTTCATCTCAGAAATAATTTTATGGTGACCTCTAGAAATGAATTTATTATGTGTATTCATTTATCACTAAGTACTTAGCAAAGTGCTGCCATGTGTGAGACTTGTGCTAGGGGCTGAGGCCACAGAGACGAAAAATGCAGTCCCTACCCATGAAGACACTACAGTCCAGGAGAAGGGTCAGATAAGTCCAACAAATAAGGCCTGGCCCATAGTGAGCAAAACCACGACCACTGAGGACTACGACACACTGGGCTATCACAGGTGCTACGACAGGTAAACGCCGAGCTGTGGGCACACAAGGAGGGGAACTCACGTAGATGTCGGGGAGGGGAGTCAAGGAGAGGAATTAAGAAAGATCCTGTAAGGTGATACAAGCTGGGTCTGGAAGGACTCAGGTGACAGGCAGGTGCAGGAGAGAAGTCAAGGTCTCCCTGTCATACTTGGATGACAGGGTCTCATCTCTAACGCTGGAAAGAATCTTCAGGTTACTGAAGGGTTGCTGACATTGCTCAGGACGTGAACTCTATGACATCTTCCATCCTCTGGGGTTCTGTGGGGATGGCTCTCATCCATGCACATCCTTGAGAGCTTTAGTTAATTCTTAAATCTCAAAATCCTCTATTTCTGGGTCTATATGTTTGGCAGGAGCCTAAATCTGTTGGAAAATCCTAACTCCTGAAACCCCTGGGGAAAAGAAACAGAATCAAGAATCCGTCAGATCTGAGGACAGTGTGGCTGCAATTCACACTAGAATTTCTGCTGTGCTTGAAGGCTTGCGAAGCATCCATGGTTCCTCGATCTCCTTAGGATGTTGTCACTGACAATTCCTTTAATTCCTAGACAATGAGGACATCGCATTCATGAGAGCACAGGTACCACGGAATCTCACAGGGCATCGAGATCTGAAATCAGGTCTCTAATTTTTAGAGATCTCTGTATTTTAGGTACGCTGGTTGTAGTGGGTTGAGTAGTGTATCCCTCATAACTCACGGCCACTCAGAACCTCAGAGTATGACCTTATGTGGCTCTTTGCAAATATAATTAGTTAAGGACCTCAGTATGAAGCGACCTATATTTGGGGTCCTAAATCCAGTGCCTGGTGTCCTGATAAGAAGAGGAGAGGACACAGTGATATAAACAAGAGAAGGTGGTATGAGGATGGAGACAAAGAGATGGGACCAGTATGTCTACAAGTTAAAGAACATCAACAGTCGCCAGCAACCACCAGAAGTGAGGCGAGAGTGGCAAGGGACAGTTTCTCCCTCGACGCCTCCAGAAGGCTTGCCCTGCCCACACTTTGATTTCAGACTGTGACCTCCTGGATAGTGAGAGGATAAATTTCTGTTGTTTTAATTTTGTAGTAATTTATTAGAACCACCCTAGGAAACAATTACACTGATTGTCTTAATCTGGTCACACTTGTAACTACTCTTCTGGGATTACAAAACGTGTGCTGGAATCTCTGCAACGGTGGTGCTTTCTGGGTCCCGCGGCGGCTTCCCTGCTGAGTCAGGCGTGGCTGGCTGCTGGGCAAAAATCAGACCCGCCTCTGTCCCATCACCCACGATGGAAACCCTCCAAGAAAAAGTGGTCCCAGACGCGTGTGCCTGAGGATTCCGCACGAAAGAGGTGCCCAAAATGAAGACCCTGACGCGCCCGGGGCTGGCAATGTGTTTTGCGCTCACCAGCACGTGCACCAGCTTGCCGCTCGTGTACAGCGGCCTTGGCGGCCAGAAGGAGCAGCCCGCAGCAGCAGCCGGCAGCGGCGACTGGCAGCGCGCAGCGGCCCGCAGAGAGCAGCCCCCTGCCGCGCCCCGAGGCCCCCACGCGACAGCGGTCACTGCAAGGATACCTTGGCGTGGCGGACCACAAGGAAGATCTCCAACACTTGGCTCAGCACTGGCTGGTTCACAATGACGATTGCCCTGGAGCTCTGAGACAGGACCAATGTTTATGGCATGGATCCCCAAGACTTCTGCAGGGCTCCCAATCACTCTTCAGTACCTTATCACTATTATGAACCTTTTGGACCTGATGAATGTGCAATGTACCTCTCCCGTTAGTGAGGACGGAAGGGTAGTCATCACCGCTTTATCACAGAGAAATGAGCCTTTAAGGACTGCGCGTGGGGCTTCCCTGGTGGCGCAGTGGTTGAGAGTCCGCCTGCGGATGCAGGGGACACGGGTTCGTGCCCCGGTCCGGGAGGATCCCACATGCCGCGGAGCGGCTGGGCCCGTGAGCCATGGCCGCTGAGCCTGCGCGTCCGGAGCCTGTGCTTCGCAACGAGAAAGAACTGGGCACAGACATTCAATTTTCACTTTTCGCAACCAGACCGGAAACCAGAATCGCTTGCTAGAAGTCATCCTGAGAACAAACCTGTGTTCTGAGGAAAGTGTGTGGCCAGACTGAAATCCCAAGTACCCTCTGTATCAGACATCGGGCCCCTGAACTTCCTGAGTCACCAGACATGGAAGAGGAACAGAATTGGTCGCAGGGGTAGCTGCACTCCTCAAGAAGTGCCATGTACAGCTGCCTCTGAGGCCTGACTGCAAAGCAGTGCAGCTGGTTTACAAGGGGAAATTCCAGAACTAATACACCCTAATGAGTGCTGTCCCTTTCAAGAGGGGTGACCTTAGGACCTGAACACTCATTTCAATGATGCTGCCATGGCTAAAAACATTTTGGATCTCTTTAAGTATTGCCTTTGAAACTGAGACACGAGCAACTCAACATTAGTTGTATTCCTCTGTAGAAATATCACGTTAAGAGTCATTTATCTATCAGATTGTATCCTAACCTGAACCTTTGTCATCTGTTGGACTCTGTGTGGTTTGCAAAAAGCAGCCTTGAAAGTATGGACATGATTTCTGAAGAGTACATCTTTACTAAAACTAAAAATAGAATTACCATATGACCCAGCAATCCCACTCCTGGGCATATACCCAGAGAAAAGACATATGCACCCCAATGTTTATTGTAGCACTATTTACAATAGCCAGGTCATGGAAGCAACCTAAATGCCCATTGACAGACGAATGGATAAAGAAGATGTGGTACCTATATACAATGGAATATAACTCAGCCATCAAAAGGAACAAAATTGGGTCATTTGTGGAGATGTGGATGGACCTAGAGACTGTCATACAGAATGAAGTAAGTCAGAAAGAGAAAAACAAATATCGTGTATTAATGCATATATGTGGAATCTAGAAAAATGGTACAGATAAACTGGTTTGCAAGGCAGAAATAGAGACACAGATGTAGAGAACAAACATATGACACCAAGGGGGGAAAGTGGGGAGTCAGGGGAGATGAACTGAGAGATTGAGATTGACATGTATACACTAATATGTATAAAATAGATAACTAATAGGAACCTGCTGTATAAAAATAAATAAATAGATAAAATTTTAAAAAAAGAGTACATCTTTACTGACTTTCAAAAGCAACTGCCCAATATTTATTCATTGAGAGTTTTTTAGTGTGCTCTAGGTCAGTATTTTTATAGATTATAATTATGTGGTAATTTATCCTTCCTAGTTCTTTAATCCTGAATGATGGTTGGAAAAGGCCCGGAACAGGGAGAGACGAGTTGCCGTGTTCACAGTGCTCATTGTTAGCATGTGATGGTATTTGGCTTGGAAATGTTGCGTTGCATTTTTTGAACCCTCAGGCTTCAAGAACAGCTATGATGCTTTCCAAAGTGCAGAAATGCTCCAAATGACAAAATTGAAAACCAAAAACTTTGTCATTCAAACAAAAAAGATACCAACAAGAGAAATTTAAAGACAATTTGCTTTAGTAATAATTGATGTAGGTCACTTCACTTAAGCCCTAGTTTCCTCTTCTGCAGAATGATATCACTGTACCAGAGGACCTCTTAAGTTTCATTCCAGATCTGAAATTCTCTCAACAAGCCTCTCGTTGACCCATGTAAGGACTTTGCACTTGGAATGATGGAGCTCCCACAGTAGCAGGAGCCTTATTTTAGGGGGTCTTTTATATCCCCCTACTACCTATCCCCCTCTTGTGGTTAAAAGCATACCTCCTCCCCAGACCCCATTGGCAGAAATCCATCCCCTGCTTCTCTGGTGCTTTTTGCACCAAAAAGAGTTGGCGGGGGAGAGAATTTTCATGCTTTTCCTTGGTGACAAGAATAAGGAACTGCACTTCTATGAGTTTTTGAGGAGAAGAGAATATAAGGAGATTCCCCATTATACTGCTCATTTATCCTATGAACTATTCAGATTCACTCACTGCAAATCTTACATTATGTTCACTGCCATTCCTTGGTGTTCAGGAGTATAAAGGACTCATTTTACTTAGAACCAAGATCAAACAGTATGACAGATTTTCATTTATGCAAGTAACATTGTTCAAAAATAGCCTTTAAAAAATATACCAATGTTTTCTTTACACATGGCTTAGGAGGCATTAATTTCTCTAATGCCAAATTTGAAGGCGTCAGCAAACATTATGTATGGGGACTGACATTGTTTTACAAAACATGACCTGGTTTGTGATTAAAGAAGCTTTCTCACGTTAAAAAATAAAAAATAAAACCATTCTTAAAAATGTGTACTGGACATTCGTATTTATGGTCCTAGTAGCTACACCCCATTTTGTGGTAAAAACATTTCAGATTCACTTTGGGGAAAGTGACGCTGACTACATCGTCAGCACTGGGGACATAAAACAGGGGCCAAAGCTGATTGGCACCTTTTATTGCACTGACCTCAGGGGCTAATGAGACAAAAACTCGACTTCTGGCTGTGAAGAAGTACTTTTTCTTTCTCACTGGATTTGAACCTAAGAGGATGCCACCATCTTGCCATCCCTGTGAAACAGGAGACGCAGCCAATGCTTGAAGGAAGAGCTGAGAGGTGAAGAGAAACTACTACGTGCCAGTGAGATCATAACCCTCAAACCTCAGTACACCTGAAGCTGACCCTTCACCTGGCCCCCCTTCTCCTGAGTCAAAAATTCCCTTTTTGCCCCAGTCACTTTGAGTTGTCTCCTGAAATAGTCAATCAAAAGAGCCCTGAGGGGAGAGCAGCTCAGGGCTCTGTGACCACCTAGAGCAGTGGGATAGCGAGGGTGGGAGGGAGATGCAAGAGGGAGGGGATATGGGGATATATGTATATGTATAACTGATTCACTTTGTTATAAAGCAGGAACTAACACGCCATTGTAAAGCAATTATACTCCAATAAAGATGTTTAAAAAAACCCAATTTTTAAGTAAAATATTTACATATAGAGTAAAAAAAAGAAAGAAAGAAAAGAGCCCTGAGAAAAAAGATGCCAATCTGGTTTGTTTTTTTTGTTTTTTATACATTACAAAATGATCACCATGATAAGTCAATTACCATCTGTCCCCATACAACGATACTACATTATTATTGACTACATTTCATACCCGTGACATGTACATTTCATACCTGACTCATTCATTTTGTAACTGGAAATTTGTACCTCTTAATAGCCCTCACCTATTTCCCCTTCCCTCTGGAAGCTACCTGTTTATTCTGTGTATCTATGACTTTGTTTTTATCTTTTTTAACATTTGTTCATTTATTTTGTTTTTAAATTCCACATATAAGTGAAATCATATGGTATTTGTCTTTCTCTGACTTATTTCATTTAGCATAACACCCTCCAGGTCCATCCATGTTGTTGCAAATGACAAGAGTTCATTCTTTTTTACAACTGAGTGATATTCCACTGCGTGTGTGTGTGTGTGTGCGTGTGTGTGTGTCTGTGTGTATGTATACACCACATCTTCTTTATCCATTTTTCTATTGATGGGCACTTAGCTTGCTTCCTTATCTTGGTTATTGTAAATAGTAAGCATAGGGGTGCCAGTCTGGTTTATCATCTTAATTATTTCAATTATGAAGAAAAGTTAAGTGTTCACATCACTTATATCAAAACAGGCAACATGATCATCTCAGATAGAGCCACTTACCTTGTACCTCAGCGTCCCCCGTAATAAAGTATGAGCAGACGGAATGCCATAAATCTCAGCATATTTGGTACTGTCTCTGTTAGGATAACTTTCCAAATTCAATCCAGGGAAATAGTCCATAGGAGTAACCGAATCCAGAAAGGAGACACCCCCGACCACATTCACAACCTGAGGAACATGGAAAAGGCACACGTGGGGTTAAGAAAGTGTATTCCTCTTTGGATTTACCTGCATTCGTTTCATAAGAAAGAAATCCAGGTTTTACAAGAAAGCAATAGGGGATTTGAAAAAAAAAATGTAATGAAACTATGCTAATCAACATCCCATATTCAAGCTGTTCTACTAGTATCACAATTCACAAGGCCATTGTTCTCCCAAGCTTTAAAATCTGACTTAAAGCATTTCGTTTCTTACTCAGATCTTGTTTCTGATTTTTCCTTGCCCCTGGATGAGATGGCACTGGATTGTGTCTCAGTAGAGTTTTGTTTTGTTTTTAAATAAACAATACGCTATAAGCAACAGATACTCAAAGTGGCTTCTGTGCTCAAACAGCAATGGCCACGTTCTCACTCTGTTCTTTCTCTTCGCTCCCATCCCCCTTCTCGAATGCTCACCACATCAGGCACCAGTCTTGCACATCCATTCACACAGCTAGCATTTACGGACCACCTGCTATGTGTGTGCCAGGATCACACCTGGGAATAACGACAGTGATGAATAAGATTCAACTCCTGCCTCCGTGCAATCCTTTGATCATTGAACAAACCTTTACTTAATGTCTACCAAGACCCAGGAGCTGCACTAGAGCAACAATGAAGTGCTAAGCCTGGACCAGTCAACGAACATGTGTACGTCGGGAAATGGAGTGGGGGAGATGCCCTCTCACAAGGACAATGCAATGAACATACAGTGAAACTCAAAAAAAAAAATACTACCTCCTGATCTTACTGCCTCTGAGAAGTTATGTCACCGATTCCCAAGCTCTTCTGATTTCTCAGTAATCTTCGTTCCTACATCTCTCCCCCCATAATACACAATCAAAATGCAGTGAAGCATTTTTTCCCGTTAATTTTGATTAAAGGGCTAAATTTTTCTTTCAGTTTGTGAGGTTGATGATCATCCTTGAGATCACGGAAAACATTCTGGAGTAATAAAATCAGGGCTGAGAATCCTGGTGGAACTAGACTTTTTGTCCTGCTTGCACCACTGGAAACAATCTCTGACCACATCTAAAAGCTGCACGAAAAAACACTGCACGAGGGAGCTGGTGACGTACCTTCTGGCTAAACTTAATGATTCACAGGGTTTATTTGTAGGGAGGTTCTGCGTATGTCTTGGTATGAAAGGGAAAATGGAAAGGTATGTATATGTATAGCTGAAGCCCCAGAAGGAAACGGGCAGTGCTGACCACAGAGTCATGCCTGGAGGGGCCTCCGCAGTCAAAGGCTCACTTTGAAGAGCACCAAGGACCATCAAAAATCCCAAGAGTGAGGGGCTTCCCTGGTGGCGCAGTGGTTGGCGGTCCGCCTGCCAATGCAGGGGACACGGGTTCGTGCCCCTGTCCGGGAGGATCCCACATGCCGTGGAGCGGCTGGGCCCATAAGCCATGGCCGCTGAGCCTGCACGTCCGGAGCCTGTGCTCCGCAATGGGAGAGGCCACAGTGGTGAGAGGCCCGCGTACAGCAAAAACCAAAACAAAACAAAACAAAAAAATCCCAAGAGTGGGAATCAGAAGGAAGTGAGGAATGCTTTTCATTTAAGTTTCTTGTCAAACTCTTCTGAACTTCACAGTAAACATTTCCTGAAGAGCCATTTCTGTACTTTTTCTTTAAAACAAATTTCTTCCATCAGGATTCTAAATTTTTTTTAAAAGTCTAATAAAGAGGCAAATGTTGACTTTTAGGGTCTTCCCACCTATCTCTCTTCTACAACCTATGGCAATTCTAAAGTTTGGTTTACTTGTTTGCAGGTTAGGGATTTTTAAAGAAAAATTCAATAAAGACCACTATATTCCAGCATTGTACTAATCAGAAATAAATCAGCTGGTTTCTAAGTCTATCATGAGGTCCTTGTAAAGAAAACAGGGAAGATATAAGCTGAACGGTAATGATCCGTTTAAAGACTGACGGCTGCTAAAGGAACCTGACCCCAAAATCACATTTGATGTCAATTCAGAGTCGTATTTCTAATGTCCTATCATGGGATTCATTAATAAGCCCCGCCCTACATGACAGATAAGAAAGAGAGGCATGTTTATCCATTTGCCAGAGAATATGCATTTTTTTTCTGACTCAACAATGATTCCATCCAAGACCCACTCCCAGCAGAAACAGTGGCTCATTACTCGCTGCTGGTGCAGACTGCTCTAAGTGTGACTCTTCCCCACACATGCGCCCACACCCACACGTCCCCCAACCGCTGAGAACCACTGACAATAAGCTGGATTACTAAACCAACAAGACATGTAACACAGGCAATATACAGACAAGCATTTATGAGGGCACACTGTGTGCCAGGTGCCTTATATACATTACCTTTAATCCACGCAATAACCCACTTTTCAGAGGTGAAAACTGAGGCTGATAGAGGCACCCAGGGGCAGATTTAAACCCATGTCTATTTGACTCCAGTGTCCGTGTTCTTTCTACTGTACCATACCGTCCCCTTAATTGTGCTCATCTGTGGATCAGTAGTTTGAAAAGGATATTAATTGACTAGGTACAGCATTCCTGATCATGCCACCAGTGATGCACCTGAAAATTGAGTTAAGAATGGCTGCAGGTGGGCTTCCCTGGTGGCGCAGTGGTTAAGAATCCGCCTGCCAATGCAGGGGACACTGGTTTGAGCCCTGGTCCGGGAAGATCCCACATACCGCGGAGCAACTAAGCCCGTGTGCCACAACTACTGAGCCTGCGCTCTATAGCCCGCAAACCACAACTACTGAAGCCCGTGAGCCACAACTACTGAAGCTTGCGCACCTAGAGCCCATGCTCCGCAACAAGAGAAGTCACTGCAATGAGAAGCCTATGCACTGCAACGAAGAGTAGCCCCCGCTTGCCGCAACTAGAGAAAGCCCGCGTGCAGCAACAAAGACCCAGCATAGCCAAAAATAATAAATAAAATAAATAAATTTTTTAAAAAAAGAATGGCTGCAGGCAATAGAGAGCAGCATCTACAGAGGGAAGGCTGGGTGCTACAGTCAAGGGAGGGGAAGGCAATAGGAAGAGAGCCAGAAAACCTATCTCAAATCTGTGTTTGCAGAGCGACCACGATCCTTACTTAGTGTATTTGTTTAGCTTGGGAGTGGCTTGGGATAGGAGGCTGAAGGAGATGATGGCGAAGGTCTGCCATGTCACCCCCAGGTGTCACCAATGTCCCATGGAGGGAACAGAACTCAGAGAAGACACAGTCACTGTCTCCAAACATGTGGAAGGAAATCAGATGCATTAGAAACAGGATTAGAAGTTAGAAGTTAGCAGTAGTACCAGAGGTAGATCTTGTCCTACATCCTTGCAGTTATTTCCAATGAGATACATCCTAATTCCTAGGCTACTGCCTGAGTTGCTGGAAAAGTTTAAGGTTTCAACTTAAAAGCAGAAGCCAGGGGCTTCCCTGGTGGCGCAGTGGTTGAGAGTCCGCCTGCCGATGCAGGGGACACGGGTTCGTGCCCCGGTCTGGGAAGATCCCACAGGCCACGGAGCGGCTGGGCCTGTGAGCCATGGCCGCTGAGCCTGCGCGTCCAGAGCCTGTGCTCTGCAACGGGAGAGGCCACAACAGTGAGAGGCCCGCGTACCGCAAAAAAAAAAAAAAAAAAAAAAAAAAAGCAGAAGCCAGAGAAGTCACCTGGCTCCCCCATGATGATTCTGTGTATTACATAAGGCCTGCTCCATGGTGGAGGGTGATGGTGACAGAGGCAATGGAGGAACAAGAGAGGTTTTGAGATGTTTCTGTGTATTACATAAGGCCTGCTCCATGGTGGAGGGTGATGGTGACAGAGGCAATGGAGGAACAAGAGAGGTTTTGAGATGTTTAACAATCTGGGTTAGAAGACAGACCGACACACTTGAATTACTGAGTGAATAATACAGCATCCGGAAAAAGTGTTAGACACAGACAACCGAAGTGTGGGAGTTCAGACAAAAGAATAGTGAACAGGGGCTGGAGTGGTCAGGAAGAGCTGCGTCCACAAGAGGAGACCTTGAAAAAAGTATGATTTTAGCAAAGAGAAGAAAAGCTTCGTGTTTTCTCTTGGTGTCCTCCACAGTGTCAGGGAGATGCAAAAAGCACTCCTCTTTTACAAAAGGAGTTCAGGATAAAAGGGAAAAACTTCAAATTCAACAAATACAACTTTTGCTGCCTGAAAATAACCTCTTGCTTTTCCTGAGCTCCTACCACCATTAATTTCTTTATGCAGCTGATGTTTGCTAGGGGCTTAGGACACGCCCAGAGATCTGCTGTGTGGCAGATTGTAATCTATATGACCTCACTGAGCCCTACTGCAAGAACCCTGCAAGGCTGGTGTGATTATGCTTACCTTCAGGCAAGGAGCTCAAAGCCCAGAGAGATGAAATGATTGCTCTAGTGCCACCCAGCCAGCCATGGCAGAGCTAGAGGACCAAGTCAGACACACTGGTATCAGGTTCCATGCTCTTTCTGTTGCACACTGCATTCCACTGACCTCCTTGTTATCATCTTTATCTCTTTTTTTTTGCGGTACACGGGCCTCTAACTGTTGTGGCCTCTCCCGTTGCAGAGCACAGGCTCCAGACGCGCAGGCTCAGCGGCCATGGTTCACGGGCCCAGCCGCTCCGTGGCATGTGGGATCTTCCCGGACCGGGGCATGAACCCGCATCCCCTGCATCGGCAGGTGGACTCTCAACCACTGCGCCACCAGGGAAGTCCTCTTTATCTTTTATATGGCCTCCTGCGAATAAGCATTTTACCCAGCTGAAGCAAGAATTCTTCCTGCATTCACATGTGAGTTTATACCAAACATAGGCCAGTCTCTGTTCCATGATTGCAGAAGGTAGAAGGGGCAGTTGAAGAGGAGATCAGCAGTGGCATAGAAAAGGGCGTGTGTCTGGTAGAACGTGAGACTGAGACCCAAACCTTCATGATTCTTAGAATTGGAGAACTAGATTGCCTGGCCTTTGGTGACACTGAGGGATGTCAGCACTTGGACCACAACTCAAGGGTTCTGTTTCATATCCTGAACCATGTGAATGTGTCTTTCCAGAATCAAGGTCAAGTGTCTTGCTTGTCCAGTAGTGTTTTCAGTGCAGCTGTGGTCCTCTGGTCACTAAGTCAGTCCATCTCAAATTCAGCTGCACATTAGAACCATTTGGGAAGTTTTTAAAGATCCCCAAGCCCAAGCAAGTCAGAATCTCTGGGGATGAGGCCCAGACATCAGGATTTTTTTAAGTGCCTTGGTGACTCCAGTGTTCGGCCACGGCTGTGAGCCGCGCTCACAGGTACAGAAGTCGATGGCTGACAGTGACATTCACCTTAAGAGATTCTTTCAATTTACTCCGGTTTTTACACGAAATACATTTAGATCACAGATACACTGAGAACTTATAATACTGCTGCCAGAATAATCTTTGTTAAGACCCACATCTGATCAAGTAATTCATCACTCCCTGCAGAGCTGGGACTACGGTGAGGTGAGTGAGGTGCTTAGGGCACAAAATATAAAGAGGAAGCCTTGGTCTAGTTATGTTTGTTCCTAAATGCGAGTCTTTCCTTACAGTCAAGAGCATAAACTATGAAAGCAGACAGATGTGATTTGGACACTGCTGAGCACAGTCATGAGTGGCAGTGTCTCTGCCAGGCTGGCGCCTTCTTATCCCTCAAGGCTGAGCACATCTTCTCTTCCCTGTTAATTTTCCTCTCCCTGACCTCCTCACCAAGGTCAAGTCAAAAGTCAATTGAACCTTGGGGTAAGAGAGGAATAAAGACACAGACATACTAGAGAACGGACTTGAGGATATGGGGAGGGGGAAGGGTGAGCTGTGACAAAGCGAGAGAGAGGCATGGACATATATACACTACCAAACGTACGGTAGATAGCTAGTGGGAAGCAGCCACATAGCACAGGGAGATCAGCTCAGTGCTTTGTGACCGCCTAGATGGGTGGGATAGGGAGGGTGGGAGGGAGGGAGACGCAAGAGGGAAGAGATATGGGAACATATGTATATGTATAACTGATTCACTTTGTTATAAAGCAGAAACCAACACACCATTGTAAAGCAATTATACCCCAATAAAGATGTTAAAAAAAAAAAGTCAATTGGCCTCTCATCTGCATCGCTGTGGCACTTTAGCATACTTTGGAACTCTCATTGAATTATACCTATTTATTCTACTGTCTGCCTTTCCTGCCGTGAAGCCATCTGGTAAAAGAGGGGAAAAAAAGGCTTTAGAGTTAGTTAGATCTGGGTTTGAATCCCAGCTGCATGACTGTGAACATTCTCTTTGCGCCACAGTTTCCTTATAGTAAAATGATGAAAATAGTACTAAACTCAGAGCACTCTTACGTTCTGCCACACAGCAGCTGGGAAGAAATCTTAGTTTCCTTCCTTGACCCATCACACCCTCCATCCCGAGAGCTACCCCCATTCTAGTTGTGAGTTCTCTGAGATCAGAAACTTCATTCAGCATGACAACCTTTAGTGCCTTGGCCCAAGTCTAGCACATAGTAGGGATTCAGTAAATGTTTGTCAGGCTGAAATAAACTGCAAGATGACCAGTAGTTATGCACGCAGAGAAGTTAAGAAGTGAGTGTTTCAACGGCAGAAACAACTTGCAAGAGGGCAAAGAGGAAAGAATGAGCCTGGGCTTTGCTGGGAACCGTGAGGAGACCACACGGAATGGAACAGTAAACACACACTGGGAAACAGTGCAGGAGGAGAATGGAGAGCAAGCAGCACAGCCAGCGTTAAAGGGCGTTGGTATTGGGGAGAAAGTGTTTGGCCTTTCTTAGGCAGTTACTGCAGGTTTGTATCTCTAAAGCTTTGATGATGAGCCTTCACCTTTCCATTGAGCAGGTAGGTGGCGGGCTGCATTATGTTCATCAAAACTCCCACTGGACTCCAGCTAAATTTGTATCTCAAGGGATTGTCTGAATGTTCAGGGGCTGGAAGGCCACCGCAGTAGGAAACATAAGATTCAATCTGTAAGATAAAGAATCAATAAATTAGGGAAATTAACAATTAGTTACGGAGAATAATCTATCCAAATCTATCCGAGTAATTAATTGAGTACAGTGACACAAATAAGGTAAACTTGTTACAGTTTCTCCTTTCTTAAAGTTACAAAGGCTTTCAAAAATACATCCTTAAAGCCAAACACCATTTGGTGTTTGTCAGTTATATTTAGATTAAGTCAGTTATATTTATATATATATATATGTGTGTGTGTGTGTATATATATATATTTTTTTTTTTTTAATCATCTAGAGATTGTGGCTAACATTTTGCTCCGTTAAAAATTCAACCATTAGTTCAATTCTGCTTGGTCAGTGCCTCCTGACTTTTAATTCAAATTATATACTTCATTATAATTTGATTGTATATGTATAATTATTAGTATTAATTAATATGTAATTAATATAAATATTATTAATTGATATGATATTTAATTAATTTGATTCTATATTTGATTATATATATTACATATGTGTGTGTATATATATAATATAAAATATATATAACCTGTTTTAGGTTATATATATATTATGTTAGGTTAGGTTTAATCTGAGTCATCACATTTTCATGTCCAATAGTTCTTTCTTATGTGTAAAAGATACTTTATATACCAACAGGTTGATAATATTACAAAGAATTTTTCCCACTTTTAAAAGTCAAACCTTATTATAGAATCTCCAAAGCAGTCTAAAATCTTTTATCAAACCAAAATATATATTATAGTAGCATCTATTTCTCTAAAAATCTATTGTTAAGGCTTGGACTTTTTTTTTACCATACAAATATTTCTGCAGTTTCAAAATTTTACTTGAAATTTCTAGTCGAAGTATGAGTTAGAACATAGCAGTTTCTTCTCAAAATAGACTAAAGACCCTAAATGTAACACCAGAAACCATGAAACTCCTAAAGGAAAACATAGGCAGAACACTCTGACACAAATTGCAGCAATGTTTTTTTGGATCTGTCTCCCAAAGCAAAGGAAATAAAAGCAAAAATAAACAAATGGGACCTAATTAAACTTAAAAGCTTTTGCACAGCAAAGGAAACTATTCACAAAGCAAAAAGACAATCTACTGAAAGGGAGAAAGTATTTGCAAATGATATGACTGATAAGGGGTTAATATTCAAAATATAAGGGCTTCCCTGGTGGGGCAGTGGTTGAGAGTCCGCCTGCCGATGCAGGGGACGCGGGTTCGTGCCCCGGTCCGGGAGGATCCCACATGCCGCGGAGCGGCTGGGCCCGTGAGCCATGGCCGCTGAGCCTGCGCGTCCGGAGCCTGTGCTCCACAACGGGAGAGGCCACAATAGTGAGAAGCCCGCGTACCGCAAAAAAAAAAAAAAATATATATATATATAAATACATATAAATAGCCATATAACTTAACATCAAAAAACAAACAACCTGATTAAAGAATGGGCAGAAGACCTGAATAGACATTTTTCCAAAGAAGAAATGCAGATGGCCAACAGGCACATGAGAAGATGCTCAACATTGTTAATCATCAGGGGAATGCAAATCAAAACCACAGTGAGATATCACCTCACACCTGTCAGAGTGGCTGTCATCAATAAGAACACAAATAACAAATGTTGGTGAGGATGTGGAGAAAATGGAACCTTCATACACTGTTGGTGGGAATGTAAATTGGTGCAGCCACTGTGAAAAACAGCAAGGAGGTTTCTCAAAAAACTAAAAATAGAACTACCACATGACCCAGCAATCCCACTCCTGGGTATATATCTGAAAAAAACAAAAACACTAATTCAAAAAGATACATGCACCCCAATGTTCATAGCAGCATTATTTACAATTGCCAAGATATGGAAGCAACCTAAGTGTCCATTAACAGATGAATGGATAAAGAAGATGTGGTACATATATACAATGGAATACTATTCAGCCATAAAAAAGAATGAAAGTTTTCCATTTGCAACAACATGGATGGACTTGTAGGGTACTATGCTAAGTGAAATAAGCAGACAGAGAAAGGCAAATACTGTATGATATCACTTATATGTGGGATCTAAAAAATACAACAAACTAGTAAATACAGTAAAAAAGAAGCAGACTCACAGATACAGAGAACAAACTGGTGATTACCAATGGGGAGAGGGAAGGGAGGAGGGGTAGAGGATTAAGAGGTACAAACTATTAGGCATAAAATAAGCTACAAGGAATATATCCAACACAGGGAATATAGCCAACATTTAAAAATAATTATAAATGGAGTATAACCTTTAAAAAAAGAATACAGTAGTTTCTTTAATCAGAATTATAGAAAGAGTATTTCTGTACACAAAAATCGGGACCTCTTAATATTTTCCTAAATGGACCTTTGGGTGTCAGTTGGGCTCACCGTGGCTCCCACTTCTTTGGCCTTGTCTATCGTTTCCATTGCCAACATATGATCAAGACCAGGGTCCAATCCCAATTCGCCAATGACTGTGATGCCAGCATCTTCCACACTGAAAGAGGTGGAAAGAGAAGGAAGGAAAATTTGGATAGAAAATAAAAACAATTCCATGGAGTTACTTTGTTGAAAACCTACAGAAACTTACCTCTTTTCTAATTCTTTTAGCACCGGGGTGATGTAGCTTGCAGTGATCATGTTAACCTTGCTTGCGATGCATGCCTTGGCCACAAGAGGATGCAATACATAAGGCAACAAGCTTAAAAACAGGAGAAACTAATCAGAAACTTTCTTTGCCAACCGTCCCTCCAATGTACCTTGAACTGCACTAAAGTGAAGATATCACACTGATTATTCTCTCAGAGATGATCAATGACTCCTTGAAGACTACAGAATAAATTCATCCTGTTATCATATTTAAAACTCTCCACAATATGACCTTCACTTAACCTTTCTATTTTTCCTCCTTGCATCTCCTTCATAAACCATATATGGGGACCAAAGAAGCTATTGTAATTCTCCACTCACAGTCTTTACTTTTCCATTTGTGAACCTTTACTCTCACCGTGTCTTCCACTTGAAATTGTCCCTCACCCACCCACCCCCATCCAGATCATACCTTCCTCAAAGAAATGTCTGAAAAGGTAAATCCTCCAAGAAGCTTTCCCAGATTCCCCCAAATCCAGATCTTCCTCTGTATGCACTCAGCTATCCTTTTGTAACATTTAGTGGACTTTATTCTACTCATCCTTATATTTCTATGATTTTCTGTCTTGGGTCCCTTAGTAAAAGGTAACGTTGCTATTCTTTTTACCTCCACATCTCCTAAATGGCTATCGTTAAACTAAGTCAAAGTGACCCATATGTTACATTAAAGAGTAGAGTCTAGGAAAGGCCAGGGGAAGAAATAAGTTTCAATGGTATTGTTAGGTGTAAAAGCTATCGAAACAGCTAAACGCCTATATGGGAAGCAAACACTGAAACTGTACTCAAAACTCAACTTTGGGTCTTCTAAGAATCTGGCTCTGGTGTTTTACTTTGGTGCTGGGACTACACAATCACAAAAAAATGAATTTCCATAAATTTACATATAAATGAGTATATTCATATTCTACCAAGAAATAACAAGCATCCTGTCAATCATTTAGTAATATTTAAGTTCTACTAGCTTACTGCCTATTTGGCAAAGCAATCTACACAGTACCAATGAAAATGTAAATACAAACTTGGAAACATTATTACAGTATATCACTGTACTTGTTAAATTCCTCCTGTTTATTTCATATTTTCTCTATTTCACATAAAACAAAACAATAAAACCACCTCTCAGGCACTTATTCCTCTTCAGGTTAATAGAACAGAGTATTGTTACTTAGATTTATTATCATGCAGAATAAAATTGGGTACATATTTTGCCAGTAACAATATGAAAGCCCTTGATCTCTGTTTTTTGGCTTTTTTTTTTTTTTTTTAAAGAAGATGTTGGGGGTAGGAGTTTAGTAATTTATTTATTTATTTTTGCTGTGTTGGGTCTTCATTTCTGTGCAAGGGCTTTCTCTAGTTGTGGCAAGCGGGGGCCACTCTTCATCGCGGTGCGCGGGCCTCTGACTATCGTGGCCTCTCTTGTTGCGGAGCACAGGCTCCAGACGCGCAGGCTCAGCAGTTGTGGCTCACGGGCCTAGCTGCTCCGCGGCATGTGGGATCTTCCCGGACCGGGGCACGAACCCGTGTCCCCTGCATCGGCAGGCGGACTCTCAACCACTATGCCACCAGGGAAGCCCTTTTTGGCTTTTTTAATCAAAAATAATTATTACTAAATATGGTAGCCCTTTAAAAGCCAATGAATGAAATACTTGCAAAACTCTTAGTTGGAAAAGTATTAATAGAAAATGTTCAGTGGCATCATCTTAAAGGTTAGTGGGGATTTTTTGTCGCATTCTCCACATTGAAAACCTGTCTGATAAAAATTTTATCCAGATCTAATAATATTTTTAAATTTGGGCATTATCAGCACTAACCTAATAATATACTGAGAACTAGAACGATAGAACTTCCATTGATGGTGCCTATTTTAGACAAAGGGATTAGAGTTCATAATTCATTGTATATGTAATATAGCAACTACTCAAGAGGACATAATTAACCCAAATAGTTGGAAATGCCACTTGTGAAAACATACACAAAATACACATCTAATTTTCAAAGTAATTTATCAAACTCAATTCCTACTTTTCATTAAATCGTTAAAAACCAGAACTGCAAAATAAAACCATGAGAATTTGACATATTATAAAATTTTTGTGAAACATATTTTTCACTCATTTTACTTTGATAGTCCCTAACATTGTGTTTACATCAAAACATTCTTTCTCCAACTTAAAAAATGAAAAGCTATGTAAGAAACACTACAGGAATGTTTAACATCATTTCCACTATTCACCACAGAAATTCAACCAACTGAGAAAAATGAAATATAAAACAGATTTTGCTCATGCTAAATCTTATTGCAGGTCACCAAGTCGTGGAATTCTAAATTTTACACCTGTTAATAGATTATTATCGTGTCCATTATCTTGTCATATTTTGCTTCTGATTTTGTTCAAAATGTGTTTTGTTATGTTCTTTTCTTTTTTTAATCAAAAAACAATGTTATGTTTAGGTACCTATGTGTGGCAAAACAAATTCTCTTTGTTTTATTCAGTAGGCTAGAATATTACATTTTGAAGGACTTACTTTCATAATTATAACCTGACAGACAAGGTCTACTGGTTATTGATAAACTTTTGCTAAAAAATAATTAATTCACATTAAATTTTTATAAATTGAATAATGTTTTTAAGTGTCCAAAGTGAGCCTATATTAAGAGATAATGCAAAAGTTCCCACTTAGAATTACCTTTCTTTGCGTCTGTTTTCCAACACCCACCCCCTTTTTTTAAGGAGGAACTCACAGAAGTTGCACAGAACTTGCAGAACTTCCTCAAAGATACCATTTGAATCTGATCTAACTATGAAAGTGATCTAATTATGAAAAAGCAGGTTAACTTTCTTCCTCCCATCTTGGAAAAATTATATTCTAAGAATAAATGGCTTATTCTTATCACTTTGATGTTTTCAAAGTGAAGTATCTAGCCTTCATTTTGTAGCCCTGTATCTAGATTTAGATCTGCAGTTGTATTAGATAGTAATGAATGATATATTTCAAGATATGTTCCTCTGCTAAGGCTAAAAATGGTCATAGGGCTAGAGAATCTACTCACTTTCATTTAAGCTTTATAAGTCCAAAGGAAAAAATAGCCACCCAAATACGTCGTTAGTGCCTCATGACCCAGCATTTCCACTTCTAGGTGAATCCAACAGAAGCGTGTGTATACGGTAACCAACAGACAAACACTACATTGTTCATGGCAGCACTATTCATAATAGCCAAATTCTGGAAACAACCTAAACACTCATCAGCAGTCAAATGTATAATAATAGTATATTCACGTAATGGAATATTACCCAGTAAAGAGAATAAACTACAGTTACAGACAACAACGCAAATGACGATCACAATGCTGAAGAAAGAAGGCAGCCACGAATGAGGACATACTGAAAGATTCCGACTGTACAAATGGAAAACTAGCAGAAACGAATCTCTGTGTTAGAAGCCTGGACAGTGCCTACCCTTGAAGGATGGGGCTGGTAATAAAAGGGGGCACAAGGAGCACTTCTTGGACACTATTATATTCTGGTTCTGATGTGGATGATGGTTACACCATGTGTTCACTTTGTGAAAATTCTTTGAACTACAAACTTATGATTTGTGCACTTTCCTGGAGGCACATGTGAGTGTAAAAGTTTACTGAGAGAAGAGAAGAGGAGAGAAGGGGGAAGGGAGGACAGGGGAGAGGAGGGGAGAAGAGAAGAGTGGAGAGGAGAGAAAATAAGGAAAGAGAAGTAACAGCAACAACAACAAAATATACGGCAATCATTTCTTACTATTTACTAACCTGATGACAAGATCCTGCGTTGCCACCAAGGAGTTCAACTTCACTTCTTGTTTACCAACGTACAGGCTAACAGGATTTATATTATACTTCTTGCCTAACTGTTCGATTTGATTCTCCATGTCAGACCCTATTCAAGAATCAAAACATCCAATCTTTAGATTTCCTTCCACTAGTCAGAGAGTAAAACACATTTTAACATCTTCAAAAATAATTTTTCAAAGTTTAGAAACAAGATAGTCATCTAACATTCACAGAGTAGCCATGTTTTGAAATCAATTTTACTTCCTCTTCTTTAAAAATTGGGGCTTATTTACCTACTGTTATTTCTATATTGTCGTCCCTCGACAGGTATTCCAACACCGGCTCAGATACGTAACCAGATCCAAGAACCAAGACCTTTTTCTTGGTGCTCGCTGAGAGTGACTGAACACGTTCCCTATAAATAAAAGGGGGGGGAGGGAATTTGAACAAAGAAACATTTCAAGTAACAAAATGTTGCTGTCCCCAAACCAGACTAAAACTTAGACTGTGAAGCAATTATTTTTTCCCACACTTCTTATCGTAAGAACCTCAACAGGAGTTCCCAATACCAACATTTTTCATTATTTTAGATCTTGTATGATGAACAACAGACCCTGAGATATTTGAGGCGTATGAGTTCCCTATACCACTAGTGAGGTGCAGATGCTGGCCCAGCGCCTGGCTACTCACAACTGAGTAACTTGGCGTCACACTCTATCCTTCCGGGGGACATGATTCAAAATCATGCTGGGGGCCTTACATCGAACCTTATTTACTCCTCGCAACAATCCGAGAAGACAACGATCTGAGGAGGAGATTATTATCATATTAGACACTGTCTTGTGATTTATCTTCAGGGTCACTTGAAAACAGTTAAAACCATAATTTTGAAATCACAAACGCCATGGGTTAAACGTAGAAACCTACATGAGTCACTAGGCAGAACTCTAATTCTTGAATTTTTCTGTTGTTGGAATTTGTGCCTTCCTGACAGCTAACTCTTTGTCTTTCCTGCAAACTCTGACCTCCAAGACAGTGACTGAGTCTTAGCTGTCTTTATAAACTCACTATTGCTCACTGTGTTTTGCCTTAAAGATGGAAGATACTCATTAAATGTCTTTTGAATCAGAGTCCCAGATAACCATGGAATGGCTTGGTGACAGGGACTTAAGCAGAAGGCTCTGTTGCTGGAATCTTTTAGGACAGGATGTCTCTCAAACCTTAACCTTTATTTAACTTCACTTCATTTCATTAATTATAAGTGAATAAAAATAAATTTAAATGTAAAATGTTCCTGCCCCCTCTTCACCCCCAGAACTCATATTACTGATGAGGGGACGACTCCTTTAACTTCCACCCCCATCCCATTTCACCTCCCAGAAAGAAACACTATTACAGATCCTCTCTAACAGCACTTTCTGTAGTTTGTGTAATTGAAACACATTATTTTGATGTCCAAAAAATAAAATGTTCAAAATACATATTTAAGAACTCGCTCCTAGATTTTAATACTCTCCACCCCATCAGCAACCCCAAAACGCTCCAGGTTAATAATCATTGTGCTAAGGAACGAAGAGAACAAAAGAACAAGGCAGGGATTCAAGAGAACTCCAATTTCCTTCCAAAATGCAACCTTCATTTTCAGTCTCTTGGCACAAGGTTCTACCTGGGAAGGAGGGCAGGAAGTCCTAGCAGTTGGGGCCAGCAGACCTGCCGCTACGTGAAATATAGTGTGTAAAGAGCGACTGGTCATGGTAGACACGTCATTGGATTAGTAATGTAAGAAAGAGATCATCTGATGATGACAATTCAAAGATACACAGAACTATGAAAAACAAATATGTGCAGTTTCCCCTACAAGACACTCTCCTATGGAGTTACAGAACTAGTTGCTTTTTTAAAAAACAAATTATACACTCTTGTATCATGCCAGAATATTTCACTGACGCACAAAAAATTACTGTAAGCTAACAAACACATTTGGAAAAGGCGTAACAGTAGTACTTGATCTGGTCATATCTCTTAGTTACTTCTTACAGGTGGAAAAACCGAGAAAGAAGACCAGGCAGTTTGTTTGTTTGTTTTTAATTTTCCCACTCTGGCTTCTTCTGAGAATTCAGTGCATGGGTTATTTTTTTTTAATGTGGATAGACCAGTGGAGCAGATATAAACACGGATCAAGTGCAATCAGTTGGAGACCAGAACATTCCAAAGAAATGTCAATGTTTCCAAACTTTTAGTAGTAAAACCAATTATAGAAACCAGGGCCTTAGCTAAGTATCTTCCTAAGAGAACTGTTCTCTCCAGTAGATTTGCCACATTACTTCCTGACACTTTCCTCCTAGTAAGAATCCCCAGGGGAAACTGACCTCTCACGATTTTCTTTCTTCACTACTTTCCTTAATTTCTAACCAAAAGCTCACTTTTCCGAGTATTATCCGAAACAAAAGAGAGTCCAAATCCTCAACCAAAAATCAGCCTGAAAGCACCACAGAAAGGGTTAGCAAGCTCATTTTCCTCTGAGAGAATAGCTGAGACATTACAACATGCAAAATGCTGGAGAAGGAACAAGGACAGAGCTTTTGGAGTTTTGCTTACTTACACCCAAGTCTACATGGATAACAGAAAGCCAGAACGATGCTACACTACTGTTTAAGGGAAAATAATTCACAATGGTTCCAGGCAGTCACTTGGTTTGAATTTCCTATTATTTACAGACATTTTTTAAAATTACATATTGCATAATCCTAGCATCACGAACTCACATAGAAGCATTAAAAAAAAGGACTCATGAGATCCATGATAAGAATAAATGTATTAAACAAGAGGATGTGAATGATGCTTACCTGCTCTCCCGGAGTTTCTGGATATATTTATACTTATTAGACAATGTGCCGTTGGATGTAATCACTGCCTGAATATATACGATACAAGACATTTCTTTAGTCACCACATTTAGTCCCACAAACATGGGCTCATGACTAATAGAGAAAAGAGAGAGTAACAGAGAAAGACAGGGAGAGAAAAAGGAAAGGGGAGAATGGGGAGCAAGGAGAGTGGTGGAAAAAGACATTCATGAAAAGAAATTCTTTTCATAACTTACATCTCGCACCACAGGAGAAAAATTTTGACTCTCAAGAGGCTGTGTCGCGTCTGATAATATCTGAAAAGGAAATGAGATTGGAAAGAGAGAAATGACATTGCAAAGAAGGCTTCTTGCTATTTTATCCATATGAAAATATTAGTCAAAGGAAAGAAAATAGTTTAGAAAACAGTTTTTTGAAAATCACTGAATTGTATAGATAATTGGTAAAAGAAATTTTCTATAAGCAATGAATTCTGCCCCCCTAAAACATTATTTTAGTACAATTATTTCAGTACAATTTCCAACTCTAAAACCAAAATTTAATCATGTTTGCTTACTGGAAGCACAAAAAAACTTACGCTTCCCCACCAGTTAAATGTGTCATGTTGAGCGTGCTGGTAAATACCATCACACGCTTTATAACCATAGTCCTCCCTCTGAGGAACTCTACCCCTTCCCAAAAGGTTCAGGCTGGGGCTTCCCTGGTGGCGCAGTTGTTGAGAGTCCGCCTGCCGATGCAGGGGACGCGGGTTCGTGCCCCGGTCCGGGAAGATCCCACATGTCGCGGAGCGGCTGGGCCCGTGAGCCATGGCCGCTGAGCCTGCGCGTCCGGAGCCTGTGCTCCGCAACGGGAGAGGCCACAACAGTGAGAGGCCCGCGTACCGCAAAAAAAAAGAGTTCAGGCTGTTCTATTAGAAGTAGAGAATGGGTCTTGCAGACAAAAGAGCCACCAACCCTACAATAGAGAGTCTCCCTCGGGTCAATATTAGTTCTGTTTATAGGCACATCAGCATTTCCAAAGTGTCCAGGAAAATGACTTGACCTAGTAAACTCAAAAAGTCATTCACACTCTTCCCATTATCTTGCAAGAATGAGTCAGATGGCCAACAACAAAGGCCACATCTCTCATATTAACATCCCAGCAACCCAGTCCTCCTCTTTTCTTCCAAGGTATAGAATCCTTGAATAGACTGCCAAAGGGTAAAGGTCATATAAGTCAGTATGATTGCTTCTGATGGCCAATGAGACGATCATTCCTTCTTTATCCATGGGTTAAGGTCCAGAGCACTCATCCAACTACGAAAGTGTAAAATGTACCTACCAGATGCTGGCAAGACAGTATCTGTTTACTGTATTAAAATAAATATAAAACTACTTCCATGTGTCTAAAACATAAGGCACCTAGGCTCTCTATTGCTGGGATAATGGCAAAGCCAGGGCATTCTTTGGGAAACTGATGAAATGGACACACCTGGGGTCTCCCCACTGCTTGTTTCTCCCAGGCACCTTTGGAGTATTTCCTTCTCAAGCTGACTTCTCCACCTACCAACCCTGTCTACAAACCAGGAGCCATCAGTAAGTAGACAATGAAATGAGTTCGCATTTCACTCGGTATACGGTTAAACCGCTGAACTCTTGTGTATCTTTTCACTCTCTCTCTGCTCTTTATCTCTTAATTCCACAGCTTTATTTAGGCCTTACTGGGACCATGGGAACTACTTCCCACCCCTCTTTCCTCCATTTATCTCCAATCTACAACACAAATCTGATTATTTCTCCTGTGCCTATTTAAAATAATTCAGTAGCTTTCCGTTGCCTTCAAGTTAGTCTCAGGCTCCTCTACAGTCTGACTCTGCCTCTCCTGCTTCAACCCTCCCATTGGCCTCACACCCGACACTTCAGTCCTGCTAACAGCGTGGAGCTGTGTATCTGCATCACACCCTCACCTGCCTCTGTGCCACACCATGTAGACGCTTCCCATGCTATTCCTCTACCTGGAACTCCTCCTCTTTGGTCTCCAAGATGCAGCTGAAGAATTGCCTCCTCTGAAAAGCCTTTACCAAAATCTGCCCCCAGGCAGACCTGGAAAGTAGGAACTGCACTTGGCATCTTGCTGTATGCCTACTACATTATAAAATGGTAAATATTCAATAAATACCTTAGTGGATACATGCAATAATTACTTAAAATTCAATGGATTTTTTTTCTCCAAGGAAACTAATAATTGTCTTGAACTGCAGTCCTCAGAGATGCCAATCCTCATTTCGTTTTTTTTTTTTTTTTGGCCATGCTACACGGTATGCGGGATCTTAGTTCCCCAACCAGGGATAGAACCCGTGCCCCCTGCAGTGGAAGCGTGGAACTTAACCACTGGACCAACGGGGAAGTCCCTAATAATTGTCTTGAGTCCACCTAAAGAAAGGCAAACATAAAAGACAACAAAAGGCTGTTTGATCACTGCATTTGACTGTCTCCCTTGCTAGAATTCGACCAGTACAAAACCGCAAGCACAAGCCTCCTGGAACATGTGGTATGTCTTGTCACTTCCACATATAACACCTTTGAGGCTCATCACTCTTTTTTTTTTTTAATACATTTATTTTATTTACTTATTTATTTTTGGCTGTGTTGGGTCTTCGTTGCTGCCCTCGGGCTTTCTCTGCAGCAAGCGGGGGCTACTCTTCATTGCGGTGCGTGGGTTTCTCATTGCGGTGGCTTCTCTTGTTGCGGAGCACGGGCTCTAGGTGTGCAGGCTTCAGTAGTTGTGGCACAGGGGCTCAGTAGTTGTAGCACGCGGGCTCAGTAGTTGTGGCTCACAGGCTCTAGAGCGCAGGCTCAGTAGTTGTGGCCCACAGGATTAGTTGCTTCCCGGCATGTGGGATCTTCCCGGATGGGGGCTGGAACTTGTGTCCCCTGCATTGGCAGGCAGATTCCTAACCACTGCGCCACCAGGGAAGTCCCTCATCAGTCTTTTCTAAATTAATTTCAAGCTATTTATCCTGGTGTTAAGACCCTTTTAACACAAAACCAACATATTTACCTTAACTCCACCAGACCAGACAACGCACAGAAAGCTTACATTAAATTACTCCCACCTTTGCTGCCGTCTCCATCACACAGGATGCCTCCCACACCTACGCAAATGAACAGATCCTATACATCTACCAAGAGCCAGCTCAAATGTCACCTTCCCTGACTTTCCCAACAGGGCAGATCCTCTCCCTCCACAACATCATTGGCATCTTTCTGATGGCTGTCACATTCCATCTTATGGCAGAGTTGCACACTCATCTTATCCCCTTCCTGGACCTCATACTCCTATAGGTCAGAAACTGTGTTTTAATTCTCTTCACTTATATGTGTGCCTTGTTCCAACAGACAAGAAATATCTATTGAACTCAACTGAAACAAAACTTCCATATTGGTTCAAAATGATATCTTGTGCCCTGCAGTGCTACAGGGTCCATAGGGACCTCAAGTCAAAAAGGAAAATCTGTGGGAAATAGGACAGTGCATATACCGGCATACCTTGTTCTATTGTGTTCAGTTTACTGTGGTTTACAGGTACTGATTTTTTTTTTTTTTTTTTTACAAATTGAAGGTTTGTGGCAACCCTGTGTCGGGCAAGTCTATCAGTACCATTATTCCAAAAGCATTTGTTCACTTCATGTCTCTGTGTCACATTTTGGTAACTCTCCCAATATTTCAAAATTTTGCATTATTATTATTTTTGTTAAGCTGATCTGTGATCAGTGATCTTTAATGTTACTATTGCAAAAAGATAATGACTCATTGAAGGCTCAGATGATGGTTAACATATTTTAGCAATAAAGTATTTTTTTAATTGAAGTAGAGTTGATATACAATATTGTATTTCTTAATTAAGGTATGTACATTTTCTTTAGACTTAATGCTATTGCACACTTAATAGACTACAGTATAGTTTAAACATAACTTGTATATGCACTGGGAAATCAAAAAAATTTGTGTGACTCACTTTATTGTGATATTCACTTTACTGCCGTGGTCTGAAATTAAACCCACAATATCTCCGAGGTACTTTAAGTATAGCTCCCATACCATTATCAGAAAAGAATACAGAAAATATACTTAATTTTTTAGTGGTAAGCAGATACACATAGTATTAAAACTACATAGAGACACTCATCAGTTTTCAAAAATGTCCAGTGCTCAAAGACAGGCTGAGATAGATGTCTCCAAGACAATCCCACCACACTGTTTGGAAGACCTTAGTGACATATAAAAGGAAGGAGCTGTGACAACTTAGGGAAGTTGGCTTTGTCAACAGACATCGAAGCACTTTTCTTAGATGTAGTCACCAATGTGGAAGCAATGGCTGGGACGCTGAGCAGAGAGAAACTGAGAAGAGCTTTCGGCTGACCTTAAACAATAGGGTGACAAAAACTGGAGCTTAAGTTCTGTTGAAGGGGATCCTAATAAAGGCCAGATTTTCATTTGCGATCCTGAAAGACTATATTCTAAATAAATGGTAAATTGAAAAACAGCAGTTTTCCAAAGGACCAAAGCCCACCTTTGAATCATCAATTGAGGTGATTTTTTTCCTAGACTATCCCCCTGCCAGAAACAAAGGAAATCTTCTCTGAAAAAAAATACACAAAATCCAGAGCCTCAAATCATCTCTAAAATTTTATAGATACAATATCCAACATTCAATCAAAACCAAACAGGCATAGTAAGTGATAAGAATTGACTGAAAACCAAGAAGAAGTAAAACAAAGAACATAAACAGACCCAAACGTTCACTGTAATTATCAGAAGTGGTTTAAACTCGGATTAATATGTTCAAAAAATAAAATTTTCCCCAAAAAGGCAAAACTAATCCATAGTTTTTAGTCAAGATGGTAGGTACCTTTCAGAAGGAGAGTGGGAACGGTGCTGGGAGAGGCACAAGGGGATTTCTGGGATGTTAACATTGTTCTCTTTTTTACCTATGTAGTGTTCACATGGGTGTCTTTGTGATAATTTATCATGCTGTATACTTACATATCACTTATCTGTGAGACTTTAATATTTTATGCTATTATATAATGTAAAAAAATTATATTCTTCTTTAAGAAAAATTTTATTTAAATTTTACTTATCCCTCATCAGTTACATGGGCTAACCCTCAAACACACTTTACTAAGGATTTCATTGAATTGGCTTGCTTTTCTCCTAACATCTGTATGAGATCAACTGTACTGAATGAATGGCAATTTTGATTAAGGACAAATTGGAATGAAAAACTGTGATCTAAGGTTCAAAAGAAATAAACT